CCCCAGACAGGCTGGGCTTCCTTCTGAAGCAACCAACCAGCATCCCTCGTCTTCTATACCTTTATAATAAAAGCCTGCTCTGGAGGTGCTTCTGCCCGGTTTCAGTCCAAAGATAGAATTTTTTTTGAGAGCTTTCTCCAGATGTTCATGTAGGTGAATATGGAGGAAAAAGTTTTATGGTTAAAAAAAAAATAAATAAATTCTGATTTCTATTTTGTACTTGGCTAATTCATGAGGAAAAAGTTTTATGGGTAAAAAAAAAAAAATCTGATTTCTGTTTTGTACTTGGCTAATTCATGAGTGGGCAAGTTTGCATCAAACTGCAGGACAGATTTTAAAGTAATGTTGGAGATGGCTTCGGGGAAAGAGTAGAAAGATGCTTGTGTAGACTCAATTCTATTCAGGAAAAGATCAATAGTTCTTCTTGTGGGTTCTTGTTTCAGTACAGCACGGTAAAAGTGTTCAGAGGAAACCTAACACAAGCAGTAATGATTAAGCAACAAAAACCCCCATTCCTTATAACTATAGCCCAGTGCGATACCAGCATTTAGCAAATTCGCCTTTTTCTTCACCGCAGTGTTAGCAAGCCCAAAGCTCGGCCTGAACGTTGATTTTGATCTGACTCCCATGTGCACAGTTTTCTTTGGTTCAAGCTGAATGAGTTTACGTGCTCGCTAATTGGTTTGGGCTAGGTGTGGGTGGAAACTGCATCCTCTGAGCTTGTCCTGTGCCGGGGTGTCTCTTGCTCTGCTCCGCTGAGGTAGAGGCTGATGCACAGGCTCCAGCCGTGCTTTGGTCCCTGGGGAGTTCTCTCAAGTGTACTTGGCTTGGGTTTAACCCCATGACGAAGAGCAGCTCTGCTCAGCAGTGTATGTAGTTCAAAAGAGCACTGCTGGTGGGTTCACTGGTGACTTACAGTGCTTACAGAGATGCTGAGGAACACGCTGGAGGGACAAGTGCTTGTGGTTGCGGTGGCAGCACAGTGGTGTCCCTGGTTGCCAAAGGGCCGTACAGCACAGGCACTGATCTGTTGATGTTTTCACACTTTAAACTGCTGTCGGATCTGAGACGTCACACCTCTGATCATTTTTATGGTAGAGCTGCAGCATGTGAACATCAGTCATTTGCTCTCTTAACGCAAGTTTAGTGCAGAGTCTTAGAGAAGTTTATAGCAAAATTGCAGATTTTAAGACCAGCAGAAATCGTTAGATTCTTGAATTTCTTCCCTAGCACAGATGTGGTACATATGTGTTGAGCCCAGTGACATGGGTTTGACTGTCTCCACAAGAGATATTGCCACTTTCCTTGTTAGCTTGTTCCTGTGGTTAATCACCTACAGTGTTAAAAGCACGATCCTTATTCCTCAGTTGAATTTGTCTGGCTTTGATTCAGACACATTGGTTCCTATTATGTGTTTCTGTTCTGGATTAGAGAGTCTCTGGTGCCTGATGGATTATTGACTTAAAGAACTGGGAAATCAAGTCATTGCTTTCTCTTTTTAACATGACAAATTAGATTGTACAAGTCTTTCACTGGGAAAGTCTTTCTATCCCTTGAAATGGTTTTGCGGCTGCTCTCCTCGCATTCTTCAGATATCTGAATAATTTTAATAGAGGTGTATGGACTAGAAATGGGAAAATACCAACCTTTAGTCTCTGGAGAAACAACGTGTGGCCTTTCCCCACACCTTTTCCATACACCCTGTTGCCCATGTTATGAACAGAGTAGGCACGACACTGGGGTGAATTGCTGACAAGTTCCTTCCCCTTCCTAACACTTTTGCTGAGCTTGTGCCCCGAGGTGTTTCGGTGGTCAGTCCTACACACAAGAGAGCCTGGACTATGGTGGAAGGGCTCCTGGCCTGGCACGGAGGTGGGTGTGATCTTGCTTGTAGCCTTCAGTCTAAACATGGTCTTCACAAATAGAAAGTACGCGTTCTTTCCTGAGTACTGCCCCAGAGTTTTTCTCAGGTTGCTGCCCTGGAAAGCCTTATTTCCAGCCAGGAAGGATGTCTCAAGTATATGCAGGAGGAGCTGAGGCAATTCTCACTTTGACTTTTTCCTTTGCTTGGTGCTGGTCACAGGAGAAGGCTGGAGATCGGCTGAGAGATATCGATGGCTTCCCGGCACTGCGCGCTCTGCCTCTGCGGAGTGGTGGCATGTGTCCTTCCCTGGCAGCAGGAGGAGAAGGGAGCTGCTGACAACCAACTCAGCGGTGGTTTGCAGCCTTTCTTCTGCACTCTGTGGAGAGCAGGGGTGTAGAGTTTTCACTCGGGACAGGCCAGCTCTTTCCTTAGCTGATGCACTGGAGTGGCTTTGCTCTGGGCTTGACAGCTTTATCCAGCTGGTCCCTGGGCAGGGCAGAGGAGAAGGGTGGGTGTCATGTGGCAGGAGTGCAAGCCTCGAGGGCAGCTGCCTGCATGGCTGGCAGGAGCCCCTCGCTGTCACGGAGAAGACACATCTACCCATCAGGATCACAGTGCCATGGATGCTCTGACCCGGAGGGAGCATTGGGCCTCATAGGACCAGACCTCGCTAAAATCCATGTCTGGGTTGGCTGAGACAGGGCACTGAGCAGGACCTTGCTCAGGAGGGACATCTGGTGCAGGGACAAATTTTAATCCAGCAAAGCCTCAGAGGAATGCAGACATTAGCAGGAGAGAAAGGTTGTATGGTACGGTGCCGTGACCATTGCTGAAGGACTCTGGGCCATTTAGGGCAGATGCCCCAGGGTCTGTGTGCCTCCTGAAGATTTGGGAGCTAAGGGAGCTCTGTTTGCCCTGCAACACTCCTGCAGCCAGTTTCTCTAGGGCAGTTTTATATTTTCCCTGTGGGAACAGTACTCTGAATTTCTTGAGCTTGTTTGGGCGTAAAATCTGAATTAGGCACTGAGTGTAAGTTCAGAGTCTTGGAGTCTGTTCCTGGCTTGCTTGCTCTGATGTCCTTGGGTGAGCTTGGATCTTGTTGCTAGAAGAGACCTCGCTTTCCATGTGCATTAAATTTGGGTTGTCTGTGAAACGAGCTTACTCAGCCCTGATAAGCTCATTGCAAATTAGGCAGGAGTGCCAGCCTCTCAGGGCTGTTGGCAGCCCCTTGTGCAGGGCTTGCGTTGGGCACATGCAGCTGGCAGCAAACCCAGCACCGGCGAGCAGTGTTGTGCAGCCAGCACCAGGACACGGGCAGGTTGTCTGCTCAGGTCCCCCTTGCTGTTTCTGCTCTGCCTGGGCTCCTCCTTGCTCCCTACCAGGGAGTCCCTGGGCACAAGAGGAAACCTGACAAGGGGCTGAGGCAGCAGGAGACAGGAAGGGGCCAAGCCAGGCATCCTTCCCATGGGTCCTTCCCAAAAGCAAAGTGGTTTTGGATGGGGGTAGAGGGAGCTGGGAGGGGAAGTTTCAGGCAGAGGGGTCTGTCTGTGCCCACATCTGCTTCCAGGAGTGCCACAGGAGCCTTCCTGGCCAGGGAGAGGGGCTGAGCCCCAAACATTCTTGCTGGGCAGCATGGGCTCCCTCTTCCCCACATCCCTCTCTCCTCCAGGCCCATCTGGTGAAGTCTGTCACTGGCCCTTCCCTGCGTCCAGCCTGCTCTGGGCAGCAGCCAAGGGACCAGCAGCGTCCCTGCTGCTCTTTTCCCTCCCCCAGGGATGGGGGGGTGGGGTGTGGGGTGGGTTCACAGTCTTTGATGTGCGGGCACAGGGCTGGGGACAGGCTGTGTGCGCTCATGAGAGCCTGGCCAGGCTCCAGCTGCCTTTGAAGTGCTCCAGTGATCAGGATGAAAGGGAGGGGAGTCCTACCCCAAACCATCTGGCTCTAATTGCAGGTAGAAATGCCTCTCTGCGTCCCCCCCCCGTGGGGAGGGGGCATGCCGCTCTCTTCGTTAATCCCGCGGCTCTCAGCTGGGCTGGCGCGAAGGGCGAGAGCTTGGGAACAAAAGGGGGTTTCAGCTGGGCAGGCAGAAATAAGCACCCACTGGCGGAGATGCTGGGGGTTCGGGCACCTCCGTTCCCAGCCTCGAGCTGCGGGGCCCCGCAGACCTTCCCGGGGATGGCCTGTGCTGCGGGGGGGGGGGGTGTTGCCAGTTGTCCCCATCTCCGGTTTCTCGGGCGCACTGGAGCCTCCTGGCCCTTTGCCTCCCGCTTTCTCGTGCTGGTGCGCGCCGAGCGCAGGGACGAGGAACGTGGGAACTCGGCGCGAGCGCGGCCGTTTGGCAGGGTGTGCCGGCTGCCTCCCCGCACCCCCAGCCCTCCCTACCCACTCCCCCTGCACCTCCTGGGCAGAGCTGGCCACAAAGCTCCACGTGCCACCGCAGCGGCAGCAGCGGCTAGAGCCATTGGCATCACTGGCAAGTAAGTTTTGTTGTCCCGTCCAGCTGGGCATCTTCCCTTTCCCAAGTAGATAAAGGGAGCTGAGTTACATCTACCAGCAGTTTCTTTCCCTCCTTGTGTTAGCCTTTGGGCAGCACCTGAAACCCCAATTAAACCTGTGTTGCTTGAAGTCGTCTGCCCTAATAACGACACCACAGAACAATCTATTTAGGTGAAGCTTTCCCCCTTACCATAAAGCCCTTGTTATAAACTTTTTATATAAATATATACAATTATTAAATGTGAGCTATGGTAACTCTGTGACCAGAAGCAGCCCTTGCTGTTACCCATCTCCAGGGACCAAGCAATGGCCAAAAAGGGAGAACGAGCAGCAGAAAGCCGGGCGAAATGGGCAATGGGACGGCAAAGGGGTGCAGAGAGGGTGATCACGGGGATGGAAAGCACCAGGCTGAGCAGACTTGTAGGTTGTTCAGATGCAGTGGGCCTGAGCCCTAGCACGGCACAGGCCGCTGGGTATTAACTTGATCAATTAAGATGTTAATTGCTGCCCTGATGCTGCGGTAAGGTGGGGTGGAGGAACTGTTTGGTGCAGGAGAGCAGATCCCCCCTTTGCTGGGCAGCGGTTCACTCCCTGCACGGCCACCCTCAGGAGACGTCCTCACCGCTTCTTCCCTCTCCAGGTCTCTGCCTCTTCCGACCCCCGTTCGGCGGGGGACGAGGAGCTGCCGCCGTCGGGCAAGGCACGGGGGCTGAGGCGGAGCGGGCAGGCTGGCCCACGGCGGCAGAGGCGCCGCGGGGTAGCCCAGCAGGCTGCCAGGAGCCCGGCGGTGCCCCCACCCCGCGGCGCTGGCCGGGAGGAGAGCCTGCCCTTCGTGCTGGACCTGCAGAGCTTGCCGGGGCTGGCCGACGTAGACCTGAGCGCCCAGAACCCCAACATCCAGGTGGGGAGCAGGTCTGAGTGGGCCGCGGGGGGTTGCGGGTGAGCTACGTGTGCTCCCCAGCCTCGTTTGGTTCCCTAAGAGGAAAGATCTCATGAGTGGGATGACCTCTGCCATCTGTCTTCTTGGTAACTACCAGATGCAAATAGCTGGCACAGACAAGCTCCTTGCCAGAAGAATTTGCTCATGGCCTTTTCCCCACCCCCATAAAATCCCCAAGCCCCTCTCTCTATAGAGCAGGAGCAAACACTGCTACGGGGGTGACCTCTCAATTTCTGAGGGTGGTGTTGGTCCCTATGGGTGACCGCCAGCCCCCCTGCACCTCCCGCTCTGCCCCTGCTCTTGTGCCTCTGGATGAGACAAGACCTCTTGCGCTCATCTCATGGTCCTGTAGCCCAAAGCACCTCTGGCCTCTTGGGCTGGGAACCAGTGCATGGATTGGATAGGTCTGTCCCAGAACTGTGCTCCAGCTCATATCTGGCCTCCAGGTGACCATCGAAGTGGTGGATGATCCTCAGGCCGAGATGGAGATGGACTTGTTGAAGGAGACAAGCAATGACTGGTCCCTGATGTCCTCTGAGTGGTTATCCCACAAGGACCTCTTCTGGCCTCTCTTCTGGGAATACACTGACCCCGCTGAGGATGAAGAGGAGGAGGAAGAGGAGGAGGAGGAAGAGGATGACAATTTGGATGTAGGGGACAGAGAAGAGGAAGAGGAGGAAGAGGAGGAGGAGGAGGAGGAGGAGGAAGATTACACAGCAGAGTATGAGGAGGAGGAGTCCATGCTCAGTGGAGTGGGAGGTGACTGGGACCAGCGGTGGCCTGGGCAGAAGAACTGGATCTTTAAGGAAAAATATAATTATGGTGAGTCCTCTTGGGCAGTGCACAACTGCCCTCCCCTGCCCTGCCTGACCTACAGCCCTGTCTCGCTGCAGGGGGAGCAGCCCTGCACCAGGGATCACAGCATGCTGGTGCTCAGCTCCTATTTTAAAAAATAAGCAAGCATGCCAAGGAGCAAGACCAGCACCCAGCTGGGGCTGCCAGCGGTCAGACACACCAGCATCCTGGTGGAAATTGCCCTTGCATGCAATCAGACTGGAGCGTGGACTCTAAGGAAAGCACGCTTTGATGAGAAATAGAGTAAATATTTCATGGCAAGATCCATGCCATCAGCTCAGGTCCCTGCAGTGACACCAGTGCCAGAAGCTTTTGCTGCAGACTTGGGCACCCCCAGGAGAGGAGCTGCAGAGGGCTAGCTGGTGGGTGCTGGTGGGTGGACAGGCCAGGGCACCACAGCAGCTCCCTGCTGCAGCTCCCTGGCCACGAGCCCAGAACCAGTCAACCTTTGCTAACACGTGATGCTTCAGCATCATGGGCAGGTTCGGTGAGGATGGGGATGGGCAGCAATGTCTGCCTGGGTCAGTACGACCATGAGCAAAGCTTTTGCTCGGGGACTGCTTTCCAGGTGTTGCCAGCGAGGACAGGGTTGGCCCTTGGCACCACGTGGCCAGGCACCTCCATGTGCCCTGGGCAGTGCTGGCCCTGTGTCCTTGTAAACTACATCCCAGGGACAGGGACAGAGCCTCCTGCTGAGGCTTTGCTGAGGTCCACCACTCTCTGCCTCTCCCCTGCCGTGGGCAGACTATGAAGATGAGGAGGAGTGGAGCCCGTGGTCCCCTTGCAGCATCACCTGTGGCAGTGGCAACCAGAAGAGGACGCGGTCCTGTGGCTACGCCTGCACAGCAACGGAGTCGAGGACCTGTGACCATGCCACGCTGCCCTGGTGAGCCCTCGGTCATACCACTGCTTGGGCACTGTCTGACCCCGATGTGGGCTGGTTCCCCACCGCTGCAGGCTGGGCATTGCTCATGCTGCAAGAACTAGTTATGTTTAATGTGATCTGCACTAATGATTGCAGGGGTTTGTTTCCACAAAAAAAAGCTCTGATGGGACTTGATGGCTCCCCAGGCAGCTACCTGGTGCCCAGGGGTGGTAGAGCCTGGTGCCCAGCTCCATGTGTGACTCCTTGCACCTCTCTCTAACTGGAGCTTGAAATCCTCTCCTGAGGCATCCTGAGACCCAGCCCCATCTGCTGGGATTTGCATAACCCACAGGCCTTGGACAGGTCTGTCCTGCACATCTTGCTGCTGGACCTTGCTTCCAGGCACTGGGCCATTGCCAAAGCAGCAGCGGGAGAAGGGGTGGGAGATGGATGGTGTCTGGTGCCCATACAGAGGAAAAAAACCCCACCGCTCCTCCTGGTGTTCAATCTGGCTCTTTGTTTGTTTGTTGTTTTGTTTTGTTTTGTTTTTTTTTTCTCAAGGAGCAGAGGGGGAAATGGTCTTCCCCACAGAGGAGACGCCTTTCAGAAGTGACAACACCACAGAGCTGTTCAACTCAGGTGAGCCTCTGCCTCTGCCTTGCACTGGGGGCTTCAGTGCCAGACCCCCACGGGGGTTGTAGCTGGCTGGTGGGGAGGGCTCTGCCAAGGGCTCCTGCATCTGGTGTCCAGACCTAAGTCACCCAAACCACTGCCACGTGCAGGCTTCAGCACTCATGCTGGGAAACCCAGTTCCTCCCGCAGCCCTGGTACAACACTGGTCCTGCTTCACGGTGCAGTGGCCAAGGCCAGCCTTCCACATGCCCACTCCCACGGGGGGGTGCTGCCAGCCTGGCCGACCTAGCAATGGGTACCCTGGGCAAAACCCCTGCAAGGAGCAGCTCCACCCCAGCACAAAACCCCTTCCCTCTTGTCACTGCCTTGGGATGGAGCCTGGCTCCAGCTCATTCCAGGAGCCTGGCTGCTCCTGCCTGGTGGTTGCAGGCTCTGCTGGTGGTGCTGCCAAGGCCACGGGCAAGTGGCAACAGGGTAAAGTGGGGTGCAGGCTGCGCGTACCCTCACCCTTTCGGTGCCCTCCCCCCCCCCCCCCCCCCCCAGAGGTGGACAGCTGTGAGAAGTGGCTGAACTGCAAGAGCGACTTCCTCACCAAGTACCTGAGCAAGGTGCTGACAGACCTGCCCAGCTGCCCCTGCTCCTACCCGCTGGAGGCCGTCTACAGTGCCGTCAACCTGCGGGATGAGCAGCAGGGCAAGAGCTTCCGATGGCGGGACGCCAGCGGCCCCAAGGAGCGCCTGGACATCTACAAGCCGACGGCGCGCTTCTGCCTGCGCTCCATGCTCTCCCTCGACAGCACCACCCTGGCTGCCCAGCACTGCTGCTACGACGAGCACACCCGCCTCATCACCCGCGGCAAGGGGGCCGGCGTCCCCAACCTCATCAGCACCGAGTTCTCCCCAGAGCTGCACTACAAGGTGGACATGCTGCCCTGGATCCTCTGCAAGGGCGACTGGAGCCGCTACCACGCTGTCCGGCCCCCCAACAATGGGCGACGGTGTGCTGACAACCCCGCCGAGGAGGAATACCTCTCCCAGCTGCAGGAGGCCAAGGAGTACTAGCCGCAGCCATGCTCAGAGGAGCCACGGCCACCGCCGGCTCCCAGCCCGGGAAAGTCCTGGCCCTGCTCACGGGCTCCTCGCTGGCGCCGGGCAGAGTGCGGAGATGCGCCGTCCGTCTCGTCCCCTCAGAGGGGCATTTCAGCCCCCCTTGGATTTCCAAGGGTGCTGGAGGTTATGGTGGTGCGATCCCTGCCGTGCCACCCAGGGCGGTCCCGCACCCCCAGGGCGCCTGGGCTGGCGCGCAGGGAGCCTCAGGGGATGGGAGGCGTAAGGGGAACAGGGGGCTGCTCCCATCTGCTTTTATTCTCTACAAGTCTTTCAATGCAACCTGAAAGCTGAGCGCCTGCGAGGTGAAGCGGCCTCAGCTCCTGCTGGCTTCACGCCGCAGCGGAGGAGCTGGCCTGCTGCAGGCAGAGCTGCCCGCTCTTGCCTGTACACCTGCCCTGGCACACACTGGTCTACTTCTGAAATGAGAGGTGGGTCCTCCTAGGAAGGGACAGGGCTGTCCTGGCCATGCGTATGGAGCAGGGCCTCCTCTCTCCTCCAATTTTTGCATGCACGGTTTGGAGGGAGCAGGGAGAGGCTGAGCGGGGTTTCATGGGTCCAGGGGTTGTGGGGGACAGGAGAAGACTGGCCACCTGGGTTCCCTGGGCAAGATTGGCTTGCCACTGTGTTTTTGGCTGTGAAAGGGAACACTGGGTGCCAAACCCGGACATGGGTGGACCTCAGAGGAGGTCAGCACGGGGGGGACACCTCCTGTGTGCGTTTCAGTCCCTCTGCCTCAGTGCTTGGGGGAGGTGGGTGGCAGCACTCATGCAAGTCCCACCATCAGCCCACCTCCAAGCCTCGGCTCCCCGGCAGACCTCCAGCGGGTTTCAGTGTTCGGGAGCACCCGTGACACGGCTCAGTGGAAAGTTCTGTTTCCCACCCACAGCCCTGCCAGGGGCAGAAGGCAGCTCAGCTACCACTTGTGCCGTTGCTGGAGAGGAGCAAAAAGCACCCAGGCAAGTTCTCCACAGAGAAGGGAACAAGTCAGGAGCTGCTGGGAGCACCCGGCATTGCCCCTCTCTGGCGTGCTGCTGGCCTCGAGCCCTGCTCCGTGCCGTGTCTGCCCCGGTCCCCGTGAGAGGCACCCCAGAGGAAGCAAGTTGTGGGTGCACCCTGCACTCCTCAGGCTCGCTGTCTGGCCAGGTGAGCAAGTGTGGCTTCAAAGGAGGAAGACACTCACGTGCTAATAATGTCAATACGTGGTGTCTGCAGATCATGGTTCGTGATGCTTTCCCTTGGCACTTGGGTCTTGTCAGGATTTCATTCAGCTTTTGACAGGTCCATAGCAGTTTCTCCCAGCATATTTTGAAGGCTCACAAGTTTCCCACAGAGAAACTAGGCTGAGCACCTTTATCCTTGGACATTTAGTCACTGAACCTGGCAGAAACTTCATAGTGTTTATTTAGCAAATTTTATGCATCAGAGGAAATAAGACAACATGTCAAGCACACATAAAGAAGAATGGAGGAGTCGTTTCTAGACCAAAGGTTTCACCCAAGGCTGTTGGCTACTCCATATTTTTCTGCAGGACACTGTTGGACAAAAAAAATCCATCTGGATGCAGAGGTCCTTGATTGACTGTCCTGTGCTAGGTCTGTCCCTTGCAGGAGCTTTTTCCAGGGCCAGTGAATACCCAGAGTCTGGTAGCTCTCTGGGGAGTCTTTCTGTGAATGTCTTATATATGTTGAGTGTCTGATGATCCTTTTGTCTTGGTTAGTGATAGAATATTGCATCCTCGGTCATCAGTACTTAAGACTTCATTGCTGGTAAAACAAAAGTATTAATGAAGTTATCACTGAATTATTCTTATTTAACTATTATTCCACACTTGTGTCCCCAGACTCGTTATGGGTGCTAACAAAACATAGGCAGACACCGTCCATTTCCCAGCAGACATGCAGTCTGAGGTGACCAGTGATATGTAAAGGGTAAGAAGGAAGACACAACCAAATAAGCATGGATGGAGACCTAGACCCTGGCAAATTTTCATGACCGTTACATATTCTCTAATCCTAACGGTCATTTGCTCACTGGTTTCTGGTAAAGAGGTAGGTTATTAAGAGGTGGTCAGGAAGGGGTGGCAGTGATCTGGTGGCTTGGTTCTGGGAGCCTAGGGTGTGTGCGGGGAGGCTCAGCAACAGACATGGAGGCATTTGTATGGGAAGCAGACAAACTGAGTGGCTGAGGCCATGGAAGGATGAGCGTGTTATCTTCTGTCATTCAGCAGAGCATCTTCATATTTCCTCTCCCAGTATCATATGCCATCATTAACATCAGAAGACTCTCAGAGGAGCTTATTTGCCATTAGTGCAGACTTCTTTAAAACAATCTCCTGTTAAATGTGCCCAGTGTCCAGTATTGGACTCATGCAGGGAAGCAGGGCCTCTGCAAACAGCCATTCTTGAAGGAGACTTTCAATAGCTCAGCCAATTTGTTTGTTAAACGGACTGCTCTTTGAGGAAGTGCTCTTATAATAAAGACTGTTACCCAGGATTTGCACCTTCCTCCTCTTTATACTGGCTATGTCAACCAGTCTAACCCCCAAAAAAGAAACTATAATTTATGTAATAAATGGAGTTCCCCTGCAAGAGCAAGTAGAAAAATTTCTTGCATTGACCCCCCCTGCTCCCCACCCTGCTAAAAGCTGATTGAAGGCTGAGTGGCTGTTCTGCCTCGCTGCCTGTATGGTTTGGACAATACCAGCACGAACTGGAGCATGAGAAACAAGAAGCAGTGTTGTTCCTCACACAAGCACCTTACACACCAGGAGGCTTTGCGGGGCACAGTGAGAAAAGTAGACATTAAGCAAGCATTTATTTTTATAGTCCATCAAAGATTCTGTCTGGCACACTGCTATTTAAGTGATGAATCTCTAAGCTTCTACTCCTTAAGTTTATTGTGGGTTTTATATATAATATATATAAAATGTCTTTTATTCCTACAAAATTTGATAGAGAAGAATTCTTTATTCTGATGCTGCAATAAAGCACTTTATATATGTATGTGTTGCTGTCATTCAGCGGGGACTGAAGCACATGTTGCTCTGTGTTTTGGTTGAGAGGGATGACACTACGTTGAATGTGACATGCCTTGGGCCCCCAGCCCTAGCTGTACTGCAAAGACCCTGGTGGCTTTGCTTCCTTCCTTTAGCATTTGCAGTTGATGGTGTCTGGCTGCAAGAATCACAGCTGACAGAGACTATCCAGAGCCCACCTCCACAGCCATGGCATATGTGAAGTTCTGCTCACAGGGAAGGAAGTCTCCTATGAGAAGACCATCAGGGTCAGTGCTGAGAAGCCATCGCATTGCCTGTGCCTCAGCCCGGGGGCCCAGGTTTTATTCCTTGCTCAATCTGGCCAGAGTTGGCTGCCAGCTGACCTTACACCAGCACACTGCTTTAAGCAGGTGTTGAGCATGGAAGTGGGTGAAAAAAAAACCCAGCGTCATCCCAGCTGGAAAACTGGTTTGGCAAACCACCTCCAGAGCCAACAGCTAATGATAACAGGGGGATGTGCAAAGATTTCCAGGGATCACAACTTTTTGTTGCCATTAATTTGGCGCATAAACTATGACCACTTCCAAGTTCTTGCTATTTTCAGCCGTTTTCACTCCTCGCTGGCACATTTTGCTTTGGGCTGGTTTCACATCTCTCAAGGGTTATCTGCTACTCCAGCGCGGGGCTCTGCGCTGCAGCTGCCTGGCACCATTGCTGGCCTCTGCCTGGGAGCAGAGGGCTCCTCGGTGAAGGATGCTCTGAGCTTTCCCACTGGTCTTCTGCAACATCAAAAACCTTGTTGCATGGAGCCCAAGCCAGGGGGAGGAGGCTGAGCTCTGCTCTGCAGGAAAAGCAGCACAGAGAAAATCACTCTTTCCCTGGGGTGGTAGTCAGCAGTTACTGTATATAATACGCCTAACATGCAACAAGGACCTTGCTGTGCTGGATGCTGAGCGCTGCTCTGAAACTCCCAAGCTACAGAAATCTCACAGCCAGAGGATGGAAGTAGGAAGAATTGCTGCCCTAATTCTGCAGGTGCTCAAGACCTGGAGATGTCACCTGAAATCACAGAGCGAGTCTGCGGCAGAGTCTCAAGCTGCACCTTCTGCCTGCTGCTTTGAACACAAGACTGCTTGACAAGTTGAGTTGTCTTAGTTTGCCAGCCTGGACTAGAACTTCGTGTGGCTCAGCCGTACCAGTTCCCTGGCATCCGACTTGCAGCTGAGTTTGTACACAGAAGAAGCTGCGCCCAGATTTTGCTAGGCACGATGGTCAGCATGTGCTTGTGGCTGCTGACCTCCCCTCCTGGCCCCGGACGAGTCAGGAGCAAACTGTACAAAGACCTTTTGACTGTGAATGACACCTTGAAGGCACGGGTGCATGGTCAGCTGCCCAGGGGACAGGCGGGGAGAGTGCAGCCCATCTCTCAGGGATGAAGAAGAGATTTCATAGAAACATGTTTACAGGAATAGAGATTCCATTAGCTGTCTGCTTTTTTTTCAGGGCTTCTGCTTCAAGAATCTACTTCTTGGAAAGCACAAAAAAAGCCCAGCTGATCCCAGGAGGAACCACTTTGTGAGGAGAAGACAGTGGATGATAATGTCAGGAGAGTCTGGCCAAAGCAGACCTGAACTGCAAGGCCTGGCCTTAGCCTAGGAAAGATCAAAGTGTGGTTGTGATGGTTGAGTTAAAACTGAAGCTCTCAAGAGGGAAAAAAACAAAACAAAACAAAACAAAAAAACTTTCAGAGAAACTTTCTGTTCCTGGTCTGTGAAGGGACCCACCCCATAGTGTGGCCACATCAGCCCTCTGGGCTGGGTGTGCTAGTGGCACAGCGTGGCAAGCAGCTGCCAACTTCTCTGTAGAAAAGTAAAATCAAAACCAAAACCAAACAAACTAAGCTGCCGTTTTTTTGGCAGTAGCCCTGATGACTGCAGTGTGAACACTGGGCGAATGGGAGCTTGTGGCAAGACCTGATCTCCTGGGTTTTGCCTTCACTCCGAGTTCGGAGAATCACGCCCAGCAGGTCCCCAGCACCCGGCAGAGCCCGGCCTCTGCTCCTCTGTCCCTGATGCCACGTGGAGGGATGCCGAAATCGCACTGGGGCAGCCCTGCCCAACGTGTCCATGGGACAGGATTTGCTCCCTCCGTTGCCACAGAAGATGGACCCACACATTTGCAGCCAGGAAAGGAATGTCTCACCCCTCCTTCCCTGCCAGGCAGCAGCCAGCTGCCCCTCCGAAATGCCTGAGGAGCCCAGCTGGCGGGGCCTGGCCCCTGCTTTGTTCCAGGTCCTTGCAAGCATGTCAGCTATTCTTCTCTCACTCCGTGGGAGCCTGGCAGTAGGGATCACAGCCCCACACAGCTTGACCATCACGCATGGGCCAGGGGCTGGAGCAGAGCCCATCCACCAGCCAGCATCCCCCACCATGCCAGCCCTGGCCCCAGCCGGGCTTCTCTGTGCGGCGGGAGCTGAGCAGAAGCCAGCAGGGCAGTGCTGAGGTTTCTGAAGAGCCATGAGAAAGTCATCCTTCTCCCCCTGCCATCACAGCTTTCACACATGGGGATGTGCCACAGAAGATGGATTTGGATGGGGTCTCGAGAACCTACAGAGCCCCACCATGGGGATGTGGGCAAATCATTCCTCACTGATGGGTCCCGCTCTCTCCTGGGCTTCAAGCTCTCCAGTGGTAGAGATGCCACAGTAACCGTCAGCTTTATTGTTTTTGCAAGGAGAAATATTATGATAGCAGCCAATCTAAATCCTTCCTGCTTTATTTTAAGCCCACTGCATCTTATCTGCACTGGTCACAGACAGCATATTATTGCCTTATTTGCTCCTACCTCTCATGTATTTCAGAATTTTATCATTGCACTCCCTATTTCTCACCATCTTCTCTAGACTAAACAAATACAATTCTTTCAGGCTTTCCTTGGAAGCTGTACTCATAGACCTCCAGTTGGTCTCGTTGATCACTCCTCCAAGTAATTCACATCTTGAAGTGTGGAGCCCAAAACTGAAGCCACAGGGTCTTAGCTGGGGCTTTCTTAATGCTGTATGGAAAGATTTCTTCACAAGCGCTACAAACTCAAGCCTGCCCAGGTAGCTTTTGTTCTCTTCTATGGTGTTTTATATTTATGTTCATTTGAAAATTCACCATAACTTGCCCAGCTTAAATGTATTCTACAGATGTGCTGCAAAGCCTGTTGCTTCCCCTCTTCTATATATGTCACTCGTGGTTTCTGCCTCAGAGTAAAGCTTTGCAATTCTGTGACAGCAAATATACTTTTTTTTTTTTTTTCTCCTGGATCACTTTTTTACTTGGTCAAAATCATTTTCAAGCCTAAACTTGTCTTCTAAGGGCTTTACAGCACCAGCAATGATGTAAATTATTTTGGACTTTTAAATTACCGATTATATTATCATCTATACTGAAACGTACTGAATTCATTACAGTTCTATTAGGCCTTCCCTTGATAAATAAAACTAACTAAATAAAACTAATAAAAATATCATATAAAGCATTGCCTAAATACTTAATAAAGCCCAGATATAAGAGTTGTGCTTGATGTAGCTGTGATATAGTTGTGCTGGTTGTCACTTTTTACCTGGTTAGCTGGGTATTTACAGGTTACTGACTGAATTTTTCAGTATTTTTGAACTAATATTACAGACTAATCTAATACCCTTGGCCCTCACCTGTCTCTTCCTTCCTCCCTTTCCCTAGCCCCATTCCTCATCAAATTCTGAAACATTGCTCCACATTCCAGGTAAGTCTTCCAGGGTAAACTGCATCAGACCCTGTCATTCTGGAAACATCCAACTGCTTTCACTTTGACTTTCAAAAAAAAAATTTATGTTTTTCCTGTGTTGACATTGAATGGGATGATGTTTCAAAGCAGTTAAAATACTTAGGTTAGGGGCTTTCAATCCATTTGATTTGTGGCTTGATTTTCCGATAGAAGTTTCACATACATAAATGATCAAAACACATGAGAAAGGGCCAAGTGAGTCGTAACACAAGTCCACTTAAACCAGCATCCCATCTGAGACAGCAGTCAACAGCAGGCCACTAGGAAGGAAGAGTAAAGAAGAGGACAAGCACATGTTGCTATTTCCCTGAAGTACTTTCCTTGTTGCCAGCACTGGTGGCCAAGAGTCTTCTTGAGCCAGATGTGATGGTTATTCTCTTTAATAGCCTTTGCTTTATTCTTCTATTAATTTTTCCATGACTGTTCTGAATGTCTGTAAACTTTTAGTGGTACCATATCACCAGCTGCATGAGGTTCCAGAATTCACTAAATGTTTTGAGAGACCCCTTTGGTCAGGACTCCATATTATTTGATGGTTGCTCCTTACTCACCTTCATGTGCCTCAAAGTACGTAGCCAGTTAATGTCCATTTCTGACCTCTCAGCATTGTGAAAAATTCACTGTTTACTTATATCTCTGTTTTCTGGTTTTTAACTTTTGTTTTCTTTAATTCAAGACATTTCCTCTTATCCTGTGTCAGTTCAGAGTCTTGAAGAGCCTTTGGGCAGGAGTATACTGGACCTTGCTTTTCTTCCTCATCTTATGTAGCCCTTCCTACCCCAAATAGCTGAAGGACTGTGCCCAGTTCTCCCGACACTTCCAAGTAAAGCAGATGTCTGGGGTTTCTCATTAGTATCTGTATGGCTGCACCAGATGTCAGCTGTAGCTGAAGGAGTGGGTCTCTGCTGAGAGCAGGCAGATGTAGCACAGGGACCTTCACTAGCATGCAGCGACTCCAGGCTCGGATCACCTTTGCCAAGTAAATGGCTGAAGTGGTGCAAGGCATTACCACCGCTGTGCCCCGCTAAGAGTTAGCACATCCTGATATGCCCTGTGCCTCACAGCCTGGCCTTTCAGCACAAGCTTTCCTCCACTGGTGGGTTAGTCCAACAGATTTGTCATGAGCAGCAGCCAAGGCATGGCTACATGGCTACACAGCCTGTTCTGCTGCTGTGGGGATGGTGCCAGCCAAGAGGGATGGAGAGCCAGCTAGGGCAGCACCAACATAACTCAGGACAGTCAGTTTTACTGCAAGAAAAGCCCTGAAACAGCCTCCGAGGAAAGCCCCGAGTCCGTGAGCCCCATGAATGTGGGTTGCTGGCTGAGGCCAAAGCATGTCCTATTAGAGTAGCAGCAGGATGCCCAAAGTAAACCCTGTTTGTGATGAAAGGAAGGCAATTAAAATTCCACTTCAGCTGCCTTCCTGTCCCATTTCCTAACCTTCCAGCAGCAGGTGATTAGCAGGGCCTGCCTTCTGCTGCCCTCACTCAGCCGGGCCAGCGGAGCCCCACTGCAGGCCAGCACTGCTGCCGCGGCCCGGCCAGCTGCCAGCACGGCTACTGAAGCCCGGCAAGAACACCGTGACTCAGCTGTCGAGTTTGTCTCAACCTAGAATGAGCTCATTTTTTTCAGTTTTCAAATCATTTTGCTCTTTTGTTACCAAAGCTCTTGCCTTGGCTGTGAACACGCCTGCTAGCACAGCTGTTACAAGATTTCCCATGTTTCTGTTCAGGGTTTCCCAAACAGAAGACCAAACACGCATACTGCACAGTGACATCAGTGGGCTTGCATCATGACACACTCCCACAGTCTACCAAATGTGTACAGTAGTTCATCTGTGTATAAGAATCCTGGCAAAATACCTGCAGCCCCTTTCCCAGCCAGAGAGTGCTTTAAGGAGGACAACCATATCTACAGGTGCCTGGTCTTTGTACAACTTCCTTTGTCAGCGCAGGAGTAAGTACACAATATAGAGCTTACCTTCTAATGGCACTCTTGATGTCTGTACATATTTTACCATGAATAATCACTTCGGAGTAGTGAGCAGAAAAGACCAGAAATGCTCTCCATAGCTTAAAAGGCAACTCAAACAATTACATTTGGGGTTTTTTAAACAGGCACTGAAGTGGGTTTTTTTTCCCATCTCCTCTACTGAGAAGGCTGGCTACAAATTTAAAAAAGAAAATCCCCAAAGCAGTAGTTCTCACCCACTAACATTACTTCTAGTTTACTGGAGGTGCTCTGTAGAAAAGCAGAAAAGAAAGTATGCAAGAGAAGCTCATGCCTCAAAGGGAAATCTGAGCACTTTAGTCACTCTTGAGGTTAAGCACATTGGCAGTCTTGACCATAACTAGATTTCCTCCTTATCCTATTGTCATGGTTTAAACCCAGCTGGCAGCCAAACACCACACAGCCGCTCCCTTACCCTCCCCAACACCCAGGGATTGGAGAAGAGTTGGAGGGGTAAGGGTAAGGACACTTGTAAGTTATGATAAAAACAATTTCATACTTGAAATACTATTATTTTAATTTTATTGTAATAATAGAAAATACAAACAGGTAATGCACAGTGTGATTGATCACCACCCAGTGACCAATGCCCAGCCCATTCCCAGCTAGTGATCCTGAGAGAATCCTGAAATCCCCATCCCAAAATCATGAATGGAGCTTCCCAATCAACCCTTATTCATATACTGAGCATGACTTTATCTGATATGGAATATTCCATTGGTCAATTGATGTCCGTTGCTCTGGCTGTGCTCCCTCCCAGCTTCATGTGTACCTGCGCACTAGCAGGACATGGGAAGTTGAAAAGTCCTTGATTTCTTAGCAACAACTAAAAACATCTGTGTATTATCAACATTCTTCTCATCTCAAATCCCATACTGAATCCAAAACACAGCATCATTATAGCAACTAAGAAGGGAGGGAAAAAAAAAAAATTAGCTCTATCCCAGCCAAAACCAGGATACCTATAAACAAGTTTATTGCTTTAGAAGGCATCTCAGGGAACTGTGTTAGCAGGAGAGAACAAGCACGTGGTTTTCCCTTCCTCACCAAAGCAACAGCTGAAGTGGGGTCAGTCAGAAGTACAGTACCTTGTTTGTTTTACAGGAATAAATCCCACCTCCACTGAAAGTCTAGTTTGCTTTGGCCTGAAGCTCCTGGAGGTAGCTGACCCTGGGCCCCACAACCTGCTAGAACCATTTCAGAGGCAGGAGTTTCCCTAGCACTGGTTTGCCGATTGTCTTGGAACATTCAGGTTACCAAATGATTTGCATTCTTGTAGAGCAAGCTAGTATAAGTGTAAGAAAGGATTGTGTTAAAGGTAACGTGTAAGGGAGGAGAGATATAGCTTGGAGAGGAACTTAGATCCCTTCTGAAATGGGAAGGGTTTAAAACATTTCCCAGCGGCAGATCAAAAGCAGAGAGAAAATGAGCAGCTGCTCAAACTAAAAACTGCATCAAGCTCATGCTCTCTACTCCTCCAGAAGTGAGGAGTAAATCACATTGGGATCAGCACTCCTCACTGAAGGGTGTTTATCCAGACAGATCCCTCCCTCAGCCTATCAACCGACCCTTTGAACTCAAGCCCAATCTGAGGACACAAGTTCCATGGTGTTTTTTTTAAGTTAGGTTTATTTAGCAATAGAAGTATGTACATGTAAGAGAATCCCCTGCAGCATGAGACATGCACAAAGCAGTGAGGGACTGAAAGTGGTGCTGCTCAATGGCCCTCCTCATCACCTGTCATCCCACTTTACTCAGCAGCAGGGCCAAGATTAGAAAGGGACAGGTGAGAAATTTATCAGTCCACGTGGCAGAGTCTTCAGGCAGAGCCTTCCCAACAACAGGTATTAAAACAAGCGGGCACCATAGCCAAATGTCTGTTTAATGCCCTCAAAGTAGTAGCGCTGCCAGCCTTGCTTTGTTCTTTCCTCCTCACTGGCAGGAATGCCCTTGCCTTCCAAGCACACCTCCGTCTCGCCACCTTTGTCAGTGAAGTTCAAGGTAATTGTTGCAAAGTGCCCTAGAGGAACCAAAGCAAATCTGTCAGCAGTGTGTAGTATAGTATATGCAGCCCCAAGGAGCTGCTGCGCTTCTCCTCTCGCACAGCACCATTTAAAAGACTCTTCAGGATCCTTCCCAGAGGATCTATTTATTTATGACAGCTGCAGGCCTTCCTCAGAAACAGAGGGAGGAAAGGGCTCCCTCTTCATGGGGTTCAAAGCAGTTGCAGCCACAGCTGAGCAAACTGCTACTTCATCGTTCCTAATCCCCGGCCACTGCTCGAAGCAGTAGCTGATGATTCTGACCTGATCATGTGGAGTATGAAGCTGGGATAAGGCACCGGAGTGCAGTGTGGCAAATGGGGCTGGAATTCTTCAAACACAAGCAAGAGCAATAACACCATAGTCCGTTTTTGGATTACTTACCAGCTGGCCATGATTTAAATCTCCATTTCATAACAAGTTGCTTCTCAGGGACCTTGAAAAGACAGAGAAAGACTGAGTAGTAATTTTTTGCAAATCCTGCAGGCTAATAGAAAACAACTAGAATTGTGTTGATCTGAAGCCTTAGAGGCCCCCTGAGAAACACACACACACACAGGGAAAGAGTTTAAGTGTCCTTTGCTTTCCACTCCTCTTCTAGGAAGGTAGGCCATAGCATAGCCCCAAACACTGAGACAGTGTCCCTGTCCAGAAGACTTCAGTGCCAGGAGGGTTAAAGAGGAAAAGGGTCAGTTACTATCTTTTAACACCTCTCCAACCCCTAATAAATAAGTAAAATCACACAAAGACAGGGCAGATGCATGACTGGAAGCCAGATTTTCTCCTCAGATTGAAATCCCATACATTAATCCATACTATAAGGAATGCTTCAGTAGCCACAGCAATTACATGTAACTATTGGGCACCAGGTAGAACTCCACAATTAGCTAACTGAAGCATTGCTACAGAATTGGTACCTCAAAATCAAAAAGGCTGCCCCTGAGCAAGATCCACCTGCACTAGTTAGTACTTACTAGGTCAACAAACTCTCCTGTGACACTGCCATCCAGCAACTGAAACTTGCCTCCTTTATCAGCCTCCAAGGCAGCTTGTGCATGGGTGAAAGCTTGGACCATCTGAAAAAAAAAATTCAGGAGGAGACATGTATTATTTGACATTATCTGTTTGCAAACTTATTGCCTAATGCCTCCCACCCAGCTACAAAAGTTCTGGACAAAGAGGTAAATCAGCAGTGTAAGAACTTCATCAAGACAAGACAAAAACCCTGTCCCGGCCAGAAAAGCAAGGTTATGGCCACTACAGCAGCATCCTACCTGCCAAGGGAAAAGAACCCCTAGCTTTCATATTCTATGAGTATTCTGTAAGCCACACTGATTTACTTTGTCGATTCCTTAATGAAACCTAGTTCTAAGAAAAGGTCGTATTTTTAGTCTCTAAGACCATGTTTAAGAAATGATACAATGCTGTTCTCTCTTCTTAAACTATGTAATAGCGTGCAGGAGGGAGGAAGCTAGTCACAAAGTATGCTTTGGTACCACATAACCTTAAAAGGAAAAAACAAAACTAAACCAAAAAGCACACAACTGTAAATCCCAAGAGATCTGATCACATGCAGTAAGAGCTACACCTACAGACAGGTGCTGACAGCAGCCTGGAACTGGCTTCTGGCTGGCATTAATCCCCTCCTGTCAACGGTGTGAAAAGATGCACGCATGAGCTTTAAACCACTGCTCTGCAGACCACCTTTTTTATTCCATTCTCGTGGATTGTGAGCGTCCTACAGGATGCCTTAAAAAGCTTACTAGGAACAACCTCCCATGTGCAAAGAACAATTCGGAGAACAAGCCTGGCATTACCTCCTGAGTAACGAATACCCGGTAGAGCTCCTCAGGAGATGTTAAGAAGGTGTCCTTCAAGCTGATCTTACATGTAGGGATCTTGACCCCTATGGATTTAGACTGAGATGTGGCAGTACTGCTGCTGGCGGCCGTCTAACAAAAGAACAAGCAAAACACACACAAAAAAACTCAAGTGATTCACATACCCAAGAGAAAAAACAAAGGCCTCTGATAAAGACATAATTAGATACAACCACATTTGAGCGTAAAAAGCAGATTTGTCTCTCTGCTTGAATTAAGACATATCATGTGCTGCACATCAAAACAGTCAGGCCTACACCACAGATTGCCAATTCCTGAAAAAATATATATATCCTATAAGCAGCATAGGTTACTTCTGTAAGCCCCGGAATCTAATACTGTGTACCTTTCTTCACAGGTCCAAAAGCATATCTGCACAAATTTGTTTACCTTGCGGTCTTCTGCTTTAGGAGCCACCTGAGGTGTTGTTTCCATATGTTCACCATTCACTGTGGGCAAAATCATGCCCTGGGTGAATTCTGGAAAGACAGGAATGCACCCATGAAACTAATAAAAGATCAAGTAAACCTTTTAACTGTTCTTTGAAATACACAATCGAAAAGGGCTTCCTGGTTTCTCCCCTGCTCTTGCTAACACCCACAACCTGAAGCAGTTTTTCCCTCAAAAAAGTAAACAGACGTCTTTTTACAAGCAATTAACTCTTCTTGCCCATACTACTCTCCACTGAAGGTCATATCAGAATCTGCTTACACCAACAGTTCGGAACTTACCTCCTCTTTGTAGCCTAAACATACCGATCACTATCTTCCACATGTTGCTCTCAATAACGTTAGCCTCACACTTACGTAGCTTTTCTTCTCTCTCACTCTCTAGTATAAATAGCGATCACTTCTCAAATACTTTTATCTTACTGGACTAGACAAACCAAACCAAGCTTTTCCATTTCTTTCCAGACTGGCTCTCTGTTTCTCATATCATTGTAGTACAGAATAGTTACTTCTAACTCCATCTTCGATTTATCTTTTTTTATACCAGATGCCAGGACTACACACAGAAACGCAGGGGAGGTCTCAGCAGCGCCCTGTCCAGCAGCACTAGCACTTTTCTAATTCCACCAGAAGCTTCAGCCTCTTTAAGCATCACATTTGCTTTTTTTCCAGCTCTATCACTTCTGCCTTTACCAATTACAAAAGTTTGCTCTTTCTCCTTCTTCTTCACCTGTTCAAACTGGCAAAATTGCATTATATAGCAGAATTGTATTTGATGTGTATAACCTTGTATCACACAATACTTAGTTCCCACATATTCTTATTTATTCCAGCCCACAAGATCATAGTTTTTCCTGAATAACATTCTCATCTTCCACTGGGTGACTGCATCTCCCACCCTGAACACTGAAACACCTGAAAAAACCCAAGGGTACAGAAATTAGATCCTGGAAAAATAGCAACCAGTGGTGGTTTGTACTCAGCAAAACTTAAGTATCTGGAGCACGCAGTGTAATATAGGTAAATGGATATAAAAAGCAACTGTAGCGTTCCCAGCCTGTACTAGAGAGCAAAGCCAAACTCAACCAAAGCACACTGATTTATCTCCAACTGCTGAAATCAGATTTATCTTCTAAAACAAATAATGTTGATCCAGATGCTGAGACAGCTCATTCAACGACACCAACAAAACCTGCAGAGCAATTTCCAGTTGTCAAGTTATTCTCAAATCCAAGTAACGCTAGATGCCTTTACTAGTGTGGCAAAAGAGAAAAACCAACAAACTAGGGAGAAGATATCACCTTCCAAAGGAGTAAGCAAACTAAAGGCAGGATTTTGCCACATGGAGTGACTGATACTCTGCGTCGCTGGGATAGCAAACACATTTTACTCGCTTTATTTTCGTTATAGCTGAGCTTCAGCACGTGAAGGACATTCAACAGTTTTAAAACATAAATTACAAAATGCTCTTTTATTATTGGGTTATCACCAAAACCAATCTTTGTGGGCTGTACTACAGTGTCTAGAAACTGAAGTGCTTCTTGCCAAATGCTAATCATTTTCAAGTCAGACAGAAAAGTTACTCTTATTGCTCTAATACTTTCTTGTTGAGATGGGGTGAAGGACTAATATTCACTCCTCTCACTACCCCCGTCCCTTCTTTAAATTTAGCCCCTATGGATTTCCAAAACACTTCTTCCTCTCAGGTACATACCTGTTTTGAGAGTGCTGATGTAAGTTTTCATCGCATCTCTAATTTTTTTTGCACCCTCTTGCTTCATCAGGGTCTTCAAGTCAGTGTCAGGCTCATCTTTAGCAAGGCTGACATGGATCTAAACAAGAAGGACAAGTGCTGATTAACAAAGCCATACTTGCACAGTCCTTTTATTACTCAATTTAACATCACGGTTAGGCTTCTGCTAAACTTTCAAAAGCAGCAGTGCAGTTTTATTACTCTCAATTCATCTCGCAGCCTGCAGTAATGTACGCATGTACCTAAATATCTTCACGTGCTATCAAGCCTTTATATCAAGAAGACAAGAATTAGTCTGATAAAGACACATGATGGGGAGGGACTCTTTATCAGGGAGTGTAGTGACAGGATGAGGGGGTAGAAGTTTTAAACTGAAAGAGGGTAGATTTAGATTAAATATAAGGAAGAAATTCTTCACTGTGAGGGTGGTGAGACACCAGCACAGGTTGCCCAGAGAGGCTGTGGCTGCCCCCTCCCTGGCAGGGTTCAAGGCCAGGTTGGACGGGGCTTTGAGCAACCTGGTCTAGTGGAAGGTGTCCCTGCCGGCTGCAGCATGGTTGGAACTAGATGATCTTCCAACCCACACCATTCTATGTTTCTGTTAACTTAATCAGTCTCTAACGCTAAAGTTCCACACAAACGTTCCAAAAAAGTTAACATGGAAGGAAATATGAATGCTGCGAGGATTCCTGTTAGAACAGCCACACAGCCAGCAGTATTAGACTTTAGCTGTTCTTACCTCAACTTCATCGATGTCATTTTCGTCTGAGAGATTAGGAATCTCCACATAACCTTTGTATTTCACTCCTGTCTTTGAGGTGCCTGCAATTATAATTACGTTGTTCAAGTTAACGTTTCTTACTCCGGCTGTTGTAAAAGCAAACTTGTATCGTATCACAATACGATGCTTCCCTTTATTATAATTTCCGAAATGAGACAAATGCCCTTAATCTTACACCCGAATCTGGCCTTGGAACAGAAGAGGAGAACATCACTCACCAGTCCACGCCAGCTTGATAGCCCACTCATAGAAGAAGATAAGTTTCCCTTTGCGGTTGTTAATGGAGGCCTCTCCGTCCAGTTTGCTCACTTCTGTCACCTCACAAGCCCCTTCCTCCCCCTCCACCCTGACAGGCAGGAGGAGAGTCTTCAGCCGCTCTGTGGACCAGTTGGAGGCATCCCGCTCCGTCCTGCGAGAAAACCGGGCGGCGTGAGGCCCGGGGCCAGGCCACACCGCCGCGGCACAGCGGGACGATCCCCGCCGCCCCGCTCCAGCACACGCACGGAGCCCTTCCCACCCCGGCACCCCCGCCACCGCGGCTCGGGCGGCCATCCCCGAGGCATCGGCCCGGGCCCCCCCACCTCCACACCAACACACGCGTGGGGAGGGAGGCCGGGAGGGCAGAGCCCCCCCCCCCGGGAGGCCGGCCGGGCAGCCTCCCCGCAGCCGGGGGCACGGGGCCTCCCGGGCCGCCGCGCTCACCAGTGCCAGTTGTTGACGTTGGTGGCGTCCGCCCGCTGCTCGACGATCCAGCGCGGGTCTCCCTCCCCCCACTTGGCCATCGGGACCGGGACCGCCGCCTCCGCACCGACCGCCCGTGGAAACTGCTAGAACCGCCGGCCGCCGCGCCACCTCCCGCCTTCCGTCACCGGCACGGTCCCTTCCGGCACCCTCCCCCCGCCCCGCCCCGCCCCGCCCCGTCGGTTCCGCCGCGCCGCCTCCAGCTGGCGCCGGGTCCCCGTCCCCGCCGGCTCCCAGGTGCCGGTCGCGCCCCGCCGCCGCCCCGAGCCCGGCCGCCAGCAGCCCGGCCCCCGCCGCCCCGCCGCCCGCCGGGACTTGTAGTCCGGCCGCCGCGCTGCGCGAGCGGGGAAACGCCGGGCCGGGCGGCGGCGGGGAGACTCCCTGTCCCGGCGTGCCCCGCGCGGCAGCCGCCCGCCCGCCCCGCCCCGCCCGTGGCCGGGCCGTGGCCGTGGCCGTGGGAGGTGAGCGGGGCTGAAGGGCGGTGGGAGCGGGGGAGAGGGGCGGGGGTGCGGCCGGTGGCGGCTCTTCTCAGGCAGGCGCGCGGTGCCGTTGCAGATGAGCAGGGTGAAGGCGGACGAGGAGGAGTACTGGCACAGCTCCAAGTTCCGGGCCTTCACCTTCGACGACGAGGATGACGAGCTGTCGCAGGTAGGGTCCGGCCCGGCGTGAGGCATGCACCCCCCCCACAGCCCCCCCCCCCCCCCCCCCCGCCCCGAGGCCGTCTCAGCCCAGGCCTTGGCCCCCTGCTTCGCTGAGGGTCTGCGCCTCGCGGGTGGCGTGGATGCTTGCCCCCTGCCCTGTGTCGGGGCCACCAAGGGCTCCTGTCTCGTCACTCGTGTTAGTCAATCCAAAATTTAATTAGGACTATAGTTCCTTGCCCGTGCAGCACGCTGCATCTCGTGCTGGCTGAGCTGCCTGTGTAGGTGTCTGTGGCCTTTGGGCTCCCAGCAGTGAGGAAGGGCTGCCTTGTCTTTTGAACACCTACGGGTGTAAAATACCTCCCCCAGAAGAGGCAGCAGAAGCTGTATTCAAGGCTCGGAGGGAGATTCTTTGAAGGTAATAGGAATCCAAGTGCACTCTGCAATACTGGTGGTCTTTCTTTTGTCCATAGCTAAAGGAATCCAAACGGGCAGTGAATAGCCTTCGGGATATTGTCGACGATGATGATGATGACCTCGAGAGGGTCAGCTGGAGCGGAGAACCTGTGGGAAGTAAGTGTTGAAGTACTGCAGGGTATCCTTGAGATGGAAGGGAGTTTAAAATTGCCGCTTAAATTGTGTTGTTTAGTCGAGGTCAGGAGTACTCCTTGCCATCTAATCCTGCATATCTAATCTAATTCTAGTCTCCTCAGGACACGTTGTGGAGCCACTTGATTTACCTGTGTGGATCCACTGAAAAGAGTGAGCAGAAGCCCAAATTACATAAAGAAGAGGAGTGCAGACAAGTGGAGGGAATTCACTGTGTTTTTCCCAATACGTAGCCAATCTTAGAGCAGATATTTTGGAGGTTAGGGCTTGATATTCATCATGCTTACCTGGCCTGCAGGATTCTAGGTGATCATCTCCTTCACACTGCTGCCTGAAATGGCACCATTTAAACTTCTCTGTGCTTTGTTCCCACAGCACTTTAAGGAGATATTCCAAGGTTTGGTGTGGATTTATAGACTGATTCTTATGCATGAAGTTTGAAAGGGAATTGTAAGCATTAAGCAAATGCATTTCTAGTGATGATGGCAGTGAGCTCATGACCCACACACAATGCTGTCAGCTGCACTTTGGAGTTCATGACCCATAGAAGATGTAGCATTTGCTAGCCAGTGCCAGACAGTGAAAATTTACAGTTGGATCACCCAGAGGACCTTCAGAGAGTCCGTTCTTGTCCTGTGCTGTAGCTCCTCCCTCTGGTTCAGGCTGTTTCTTTTCCCACCCAAGGTCTCTACCTATCAGCTTTCTTTGCTCCATCACCCTGTCCTAAAATGTGTGTTGTGCAGCTGCGTGAAAAGAAGGGAAGACTGTGTCTCGAACAAGCAGGAGGGAGACATGCATTGTTGGCAGCAGCATATGCATATTGATGGATGTTTTGTCTGTGTGGGGAGGAAAACTATGTTAGTTTTCCAGTGTTTAGGAAGTTATACTCTTCTGCTTCTCTAATTTGAGGTAAGACAGGAATTCTCTGACTTGCTCTGTCCATTTAGAGCAAGGATTATGCATATTTTTATATAAGCCATAGCCAGCTGTACAACACTGCTGAAATCAGCCATTTCTGGAGAACAATGTGCAACTGTTTAATAAGCAGTATTACATGAGATTGGGATTCTGTGCACTGCATCTACTTAGTGCTGAGGGTCAAAGTCATCAGGACGTGCTAGTGCAGAACTGACTAGGGCACACTTGGTAACATTCCTGCTCTGCCATAAGATCACTCTTTATAGACTGGTTTTCTTTTTGTTATAAATGATCTCTGTCTGCATATAGGCATCTCCTGGTCAATCAAAGAGACAGCCTCCAGCAGCACTAGCTCAGTGGAGGGCCGAGACTCCAGCCTACAGAAGGGCTCTTCTTCCTATGCTGCTCTTCCCAAACAAGTTTCCTCCTACTCCCTAAGCAGTCTATTCAAAGGTGAGGTTCCTCATATACAATATGGACAAATGGGTTTTCCCTCGAGAGTGTCAAAGAACAAGCTGTGTTATCTTACGTAAATCATTTTCTCTTAAGTGGATTGCAAAACAGGGAAGCTCTGATCTCTCCTCAGTGTGCGAGTGTCTCTCTCCCTGGTCAGAAATTGGAGATTGCCTTGTGCAGAAGATCGTGTGCTCTTGTGGTGTGGGAGGAGGCTTTGGAGATTATGGCTTAAAAGCCAGGTTCCCCAGAACAGCAAGATAGAGCACAGTAAGGTACAGCAATCTGTTTGCCTGGTGGAAAAGAGCAGACTACAAAGGGACTGGCTTGACCCACGTAGCTCTCATTTGATCTCCAGTACTGTAGAGAAGACAGATTGGTTATCCTTTACTTGGAGCTCTGCTGGCTGCTGTTGATGTTACAGTTGGTTCAGCAAACACATGGTAGCATCAGTGACAGCATAGGTGGTCATGGGGGGAAATGCACAGCAGGCCATGGGGAGAACAGCCTGTGAGACTTCAGCTCTGTTGTCTCACAGCCAGACAACAAACCAGCTTTTACTTTGTCTCTCTTTCTTTGGGGTGGTTTTTTACTCTCAACTTTGGTAATAAAGTGATAATGAAAGGCATCCAAATTGCAGCCGTGGTGAATGGAGCTGTCCACATTGCTATGGCCCAAGCAGTGCTGTGTGCTTGAACCTCTGCTCTGCAGGTAGATGAGTGAATTCAGGCTCTAACCTCTCCTGGCCTCAGCAACAAGAGGGCAGATAGGGCTGGGATGTGATGTGGTTTGTGATGCCACAGACAACTTCAAAGCCCTAGCCTATAAGCAGGTGGGCCCCAGCTATGCTGGTGTAGTGTGAATCACTGTACAGAGTGGCTTGTTCTACAGTGGCATATCTGCAGTGTGCTGGCTTGCAGTCTAGGCTTGTGTTCCCTCTGCAAGAGATGTTGCTGGTGAAGAGTCTCTCATGAGTGTTTTTATTTCAGGACGAAACAAACTTCCAAGTTTCCAGTCCCTTTCAGATGGTAAGTTTTGAATCCCTGCCTCATTTTGGGAGGGGTTCAGATTTACATAAACTAAAGCATTTCCAAAAAAAGGGATGTTTCATCTCCCTTATGTTGCAAAAAGGGAAACTGAATCATGGGTTTTCTGAAAGTCATTCAGCAAAGAAGCGGAAGAGTAGACATGATGGTTTGGGGTAATCTGCTTATGTACAACTGATGGCTGTTGGGTTTAGAGCAACTCTGTACTGCCATTTGGTGCTTGAGTTTGGGCCTTCTACTGTGAAACCCAAGAAAACGGTGGGTTTGGAAGTGAGTGTGAATCCAGATTTTGATGTGCTACTCAGCTTTGCCTTTCCCTCTTAGCTCTCTCTGACACAGGAGTTAAAAACTACGCCCCAGAGCTGCGCAGACCGAAAGCTGAGTACAAGGTGAGCAGCCTGTGTTCGTGATGCGCTGAGATCAGAATATTGCCAGGAGAATGTCCTACTCTTAGTTTCACGGGAAATGATTAATCACCATTTCAGGCAGCAGAGGGCAATGCAGGGAATAGGACAGGGAGCTACAAAATGCAGCCTCACAGTAACTTAGGTATTATCTACGTTCGCTCAGAAGTAGAGAGCTTTGCTGGTGGTCTTAATTACTCCTAATGAATGGCCCAGCAGTCGTTGTGAAAAGGATTTCTAAGTAGTACTTTGCCTGTAAGCTATTTTCATGCTGGGTCAGATGAACTGACATCACATGTGCTTTTAGAATTTTTTAAATCTAAAGGCTTCTAAATTTCTTTTTCATAAATCACTGGGACAGCACAGAGGTAGTTGCACAGAGGTGGAGTTCCAGTTGGCAGGAATGTTATTCTCCCAGATAGGCTGTGTTAGGTGTTGTAGAATCTAGTGGATTTTGGGACGGGGTGGATTCCTCCTATTATGTATGAGGTTGTGGTTCCATGTCCCCAGGCCTAGCCAGTAACAGGACTGAGCACATATTCCCTACAGTTACAGACATGCACAATACTAACACAGCTGCCCACGTGGACTAACACAGAAACCAGTGCTCTTACCAACAGACACATAAACATACAACACTCAAGCCTGATCCTGAGCTTTCTGTTTGTCTGACCAGGACTGAATTCCACTAGTGGAACATACACACACTCTGTGGGTCTCTCTAGTAGCTGATCTTAGGCATCCAGTTTGTTTTGTAGCTGAATCCCAGTACCCCAGTCTTTTCCAGCTGCTGGCACCTGGACCCTTGCACCCCTTGGGTTCATGGTCCCATTCCAGTTCCTGGTACTCAGACTGCTTTTTCTACTCACTGGTTGCTTGAGCTTGAAGTTCTCTAGCATTCATACGAACACATAGATTTGGAATAGAGAGCCCACCCACACAGAAAGTGGTTAAATATAGAATTTAATGAGAATATCAGACTGCAGTGGTCCATTGCAGGGCTCAGTCAGGCACACTAACTAGCTACTTGTTTAAACTTGGCTGTCATTCTATGACCCATTTTACCTCTATTTTCCCATGCTTGTTTCT